CAGTGTTGGCGCTTTCATTATGCATCTATCTATCTATCTATCTATCTATCTATCTATCTATCTATCTATCTATCTATCTATCTATCTATCTATCTATCTATCTCCTTCCTTCCTTCCTTCCTTCCTTCCTTCCTTCCTCTCCTGTCTGGTAACGCTTGATGATTTGCCTGTACACAAAGCCGGTTTGGCCAAAACAATAGTTTTTGTTGTTGTTCCTACAAAGGATATTACAACACCTACTATTCGTCCCAGTGAAAGGAATGCATCTCTTGTGTTGTCTCTCACTACTCCAAAGTTTAACTTTGAAGTTGTGGAAGTGCCCAGTTTAATCCAGGATATGCTAAGATTTCTTTACCATTCAAAATCTGACAATTGGACAGACAATTATGTATGCATTTTTCATTTCAGTTATCTACACCGTTCTGCTTTCTAAGGGCTGAGCGACTGAGACTAAGGCTGGAGTCCAGACATCAAGGTCTAGAGAAAACTTTTATTCAAAAATTGATCACCTCCAGGAGCACAATTGTCAAGTGTAGCTCTTAGAAAGTGGCTTTAGGCATATATCCAGGGGAGTCAGTCACCCCTTTTGATGTGAGGCTTACTTCCCATAAAGTGGCTTCATAGAATTTTATACCAATAATCTTAATAGGAAGCTAAGCACAGGAACCAGACTGGCAAGCTGTGAGCCTGGACATCCCCTTTATAATCTATTAACCTGCCAAAGAACCTTCCAGTATCGGAGATGGAAGGACTCCTCTAACATTTAACACTTGGGGAAGAGGGAAGTGATGCATTTTCTTCTCGTATTTTCCCCATTAGGTAGAGCAAAACCTGAAACACCCATCACCAATCAAAGGGGAAAAAAGATAAAAGAAGAAATTAAAAAAAACACAACAACTTGCAAAGATCCTTATGGGAGGGGAGGGAAATAGTAATAAAAGAAATCGCACATGCGGGGGCCCCTATAAATTGTGTTTCGGGCAAACAAACGAGGAGCAAACGAAAGTAAAGCTGCGGATCCTACAAGCCAAGTGTGAAACTGGTCGAGTGAGGGGAAATCCAGTTGGTCAAGATGTGGCTGGAGAAAAGGATCTAAGGCTTTTCCTTTCTAAGCATCTGTTCATAGAGCAATAAAATGGAAAGATTTACAATCCTTGCAGGGCCTTCTCCGTCTCTCCCTCTCCGTCTGTCTTTCACCCCACCCCTTCATCCTTTGCGCGCAGACATACACACACACACACACACATATGCACGAGCACCCTTCCAGGAATTACTTACATTGATTTATAACAACAAACACGGCAATTGTCAAACTGATAAAATATTCTGGGCGATATGCAGGAATCAGCGTTATCATTAAAGGGACTTCTCCATTTAGGTTCTGAGTTTCTTTCTTCCCTCTCCCTCCCTCCCTCTTTCTCCCTCTCTCTTCCCTCCCTCCCTCCCTTCCTCTGGTGTAATTTTTGGCCTCTCACTGGGACCAACAGAGAGAATACGCAATCTGCATGTGTGTGCATTCAGATTCTGAAAGAGCAAATATGTTTCTTAGTCACTAACCCAAAGCAAAATCATTTGTCATATCTGAATAATTGAATTAATGTGTTATTGTTTGAATGTATAATTCATAACACGGGAAACTCCGTCTATGTCCTGACACACAACGGAAGTCATAAAAAAGCAACAATCTGAAGAGAAGACAAGAGAAAGGGAGCCTTAATAAAGACTATGCTGTTTACAGAGAGAGGGGGGGAGGGAGGGAGGGAGGGAGGGAGAGAGAGAGAGAGAGAGGGAGGGAGGGAGAGGGAGAGAGAGAGAGAGAGAGATTTCCAAACAGGCAGAAATTTCATCGCTTTGTTCAATACCTATCAAAATCAATGAGGGAGCCCCTTTAGTTATAGATCTGACTACTGGCAAACCCCCCCCCTCCACACACAAAAATTTATAGCTATATTACTCAAGCCTTTAACAGTCCCATTTTAAAAAAAAAAGTTATTTCAATCACAAAGCCACGTGTTTGTTCGTT